AAATCCTATTAAATATAAGTAGTATATCTGTCCATTAACAAGGTGCTTGAGGCACTAATTTAAGCTTGCAATGTAAATATCCAAGATAACTTACATTATTTCCCACCCTATCTAATCTGCTCTAAGACGTGTTTTGAGCCCATTTAAAAGGAGAATCCTGTGCGTTTATCGTTACAATAATGCCAAGCTCAAACTCTACATCTACACTTATCATAAACACTGTTACTTTGAATTGTCTATCAAATCTTCCAACTGATAACAAACCATTATTATATCAACGCCCTAAATATTTAATATTTATATATAGCAACCAATCTAGAAATCTTCATCTATTAAGTTTTTATACGGTTTTGTAAATTTTTTGCACTTTGGACGAAATAAAAATGAAAAAATGATTTTGTCACATATCTGACTTTTCAACATAAATGCTGCTTGTAAACAGGTTCTTAGAGTTCGAATCATAGATCTAGAAATAATTGTCCTGAATCCTGATTGTACGCAACAAGTTTTAATTTAATTTTCCTCCCATTACGTTCACTGATTTTCCTTTATTTCGCCAGTACCAAAGTTTTTTATTGCTCTGTTAAGAGATGGGATCGTAATTATGATAGCATTTGACTTTAAACCCGCCGATATAATCAAATTCCACATTGTTTCAATCGATTTATTAATTAACTAAAATGTGACGGTTTTATCATAGTTTTTATTTTAAAATCGATGAATTTTTAATTAAAAAATACATGTGAGTTTTATATAAACCAAATTAAATTTCGAATTTAATGCTTTATATTTATTAATTGTTACACCGTTGAACACATTTATTGGTTATACGCCCAAATTGATTTTATTTATTCCATTGTAATGACACAATTTTTAAATTTTAAATGCTGCAAATTACAAGTTACTTTTTTAAATTTTAAAACTAATTTAAGACTAGCATTCTAAAATGTGTCCTGAATATGATTAAAAACTTAAGCATTCGTGACTAAAATGGCGTTTATCAAACTTGATACATTATGTTATTATAATATATAAGATTGTGCCATTTTTTTTAATGAAATTACAAAATTAAACGTTTTTTAAACAATATTAAATTTTAAACAATAAGTTATTTGATTAATCAAAATTAATTGTTTAAAAAATGTTTATTTTTGTAATTTTAATTAAAAAAAAAATAAGTAAGGTAAAACTGTTATGTAGTAGTAAACAGTCGATTGAAAAAACTATAAAAATAGTTGAAGGAAAGTAATCATTTTATAAAGTTATAAAGACGAAGTAATATTTGTTATTTTGTAGAATGCAAGGTTGAATGACTATTAGCTTGGGGCTAAATGTGGATTGAGTTTTACTTGAGGATTTTACTCTCTTATTTGAGCCAGACATGGTGATTGCAACATGCTTGATTTTATCTGTTGTTTTTTGTTTTAGTTTCACTAGCCTCAATATATTTTAATGTATCTCATTAGCCCTGCAAAACTTTTTACCAGATTTATTATTTTTCAAGCTTAAAACTATCAAGTAATATTAAACTAATATTAACACTAATTATAAAATTAAAACTTGTAGTAGGTACTTGCTCTTGAATATATAAACTTCGAGCAAGCTAATTATATCAAAATCGTTATAAAATTTCGCGAACTTTATAACTTCACAAGTAATTATTTCTAAGATATTTTTCATCAAACTACATATTACAAATGTTACCACTGTTTTGGTGAATTGTTTAGCAGAATAAATATTATTGAAACGGTATTGTTAGAATAATATGTTTAATTATAATAATCTAAAACTAGCCCGGAACAGACACAATTGGAGTTGCGGACCAACATTCATGTTATTATTGTTTAAATGATTCAGATCCAATATCCACACATTAACATTTCATATGTACGCCAAACAACAATAGTATATATACTTAAAACAACCACGAGATCAAATTAGTCAATTATAGGTGCCTCATTTCAAAAAAAAAATATACAAATATTTAGCAGACAATAGGGCCCTCAAATCGACTATCTCGTTATTTTTTATTCGTATTTTGGTACATTACCAAAAAATGTGTCATTTGTGTTTAATTTTAAAATGGTGATGTAAACATGTAAGGCGAATGGAGAAGTTACGTGGGGAAGTTGTTGGGGTGAATAATAATATAATTGAAAAGTCCTACATATGGATACTTAGCATGATTAAGAGGTTCTGTTATAGGTGAAAGGAAAGAAAACACATGGGGGCAAAAGTGGCGTATATGCTGCGATGAAAATTTGCATGTTTTAACAACGTTGCGCGAGTTTCTCGCCGAAAATGTTCCGAGTGTGCGAAGGGTTGCTGAATATAACAGTTTCAGCCCTAACGTTCTCCAAGCACCGCGGGCCTAAACCACACACTACATCATTACCGCTGTGGCTTCCCCAAAGTGCTACCACTGCATTCTCACTTCGAGTTACTTTACAAATGCACGCTATAAAACGTCTGTCAGATCAAATCTAATTCTCACACGCCTTATAAGTATATATATATATATACAGGCAGATACCCGATATCTATTGCATTTATCAAAATCATTATTTTTTTCTTGTGCTTTTTAAATGTATTGCATACTTTTTGAAATATATTTATAAAAATTCCGCTTGATTTATTAATGTTATACTGCTACTTGAGGGTTCACATTAAAGCCTGTTTAATAAATTTGTTGTTTTTTTCGTTTAAATATTATGTGTATTATTTCATCAAAATCGTTGTGATAATTAAATTACTTTCATAAACTATTTTCCTTTTTAAATCGTTATTTCAATATTACATATTTGTCTATTTTCCCATAGATAAATTCTTTCAACGAAAATATCCAATATATACCCACAAAGTTTGGAATACTTTAAAATTGTGCGGCCACTTATTTTTTTATTATTGTTGTTGGAACGAATATTTCCCAAAAACAATTTTAGTAACATATTGTAGCATGTGCGCAAGGAATAAAACAATAAAAATAAATGCTGCTTTCTGCAGTTTATCTACGGTTATTTATCAAGTGTAGAGTTTAAAAATTGATGCCGCAGCTGTATGTACTTCTTTAATTTATGGCAATATTTCTTCGTAATTGGTAAACACAATATGATATTAATAGATGGTTAGACGGTTTAGAAAATAATTCTTTCAAGAAATTATGTTAGTTAATACACAATTGCAATTTTAAAATGTGTAAAATGGCAAACGATATTTGGTTAATTAGTTAAAGAAAGAAGTGTATGTGTTTTGTAGTCAACAAGTTAGTCGCCTTAAATGAACGCCTACCCACACTGTTTACGCTTATCCATTTATTTTGATTAAATCTGCGGATTTTTCAAGGATAATACGGATCTGCCATTAAGGGTGCACCATGCTTTTAATTGCTTTGTAAATTGCTTTGTCTTCAAACCAATTTACAGATTAAAAACTTTTAATTCACCTACAATTATTTGCAACGTCGGAAATAAATGTAGCGCATGTACACTGTACATAAAAATGAATTAGTCAAAAATGACTAATTTAATAGCTATTACATGGTTATCCATGGTACAAGTGAAAAAGCAGCCACTAATAACTATAGTTATTAGTGGCTGCTTGGTGCCATGGAACAGCCAATTCAATTTATATTTTGGGATACCATGGTATTCCATGGTTAACCATGGTACAAGTGAAAAAGCAGCCACTAATAACTATTAAATTAGTCATTTTTGACTAATTCATTTTTAGAGAGTGTATTCTCAGAGTACTTTTGTCGATCAAAATAGTATAGTCCTTCGTCGCTCGTTTTATAAATTGTCCGCGTGCGACAAAAGGTCTTTTGACATGAGTTCTTTATGCTATTTTATCTATTTTGCAAAAATTCTATAAAAAAATTAATTTTATACCTTAAATTTAATTTGGTCGAATTTTACTTTAGATAGTTGGTATCACAGTCATTGGTTTGACAGTTAATGTCAAAATCGATTCGCCATGCCGTCCTTAATTTACTTATTTACAATAAGCGGCTGTTAATGTTAAAGAAGAAAAAAGGGATTTTCTTTGGTGGGATAAAGTATCTCATTACAGCACCGAAAGCGGTGTTATAATGAAGTCATTATGAACGCAAAATAGATAAACGTTTTTTGAATATTTTTTTATGAATTTTGAATATTATGCTCATCAAATTATAGAGAAAGAATTATTGGAGTAATTTTTTGAATATTGACGATAACATAAACATGGTCGAAAGTGATTGGATTCACGTAATGTAAATTAGTTTTCTTGTTGTATGCAGAATAGACACTCCCAGCTACCATCTGTCGTTTGCTGCAAAACTTCCAAAGGACATATATTTAATTCCATTTTACCTATTATACATTACTGAATTTAAAATCGAGTTTTATTCGATGAAGTAAACGTTACATTGAAAACGAAGTTTAAATCAAACTGGTTGATGCCTAATTAGAAATTTTTATCAAAAACACTAAATGTTATTTTTAGTTTTCATTGATATAAGATAAGTAAATTGCTATTTGTATTAACTAAGAGTAATAACCAATTCCCTAAAGAAAACCTTCAGGATTAGGGTTATTAGTGATGACCGCACTAATTGAGTGAATGTTGTGAATTTTAAAGAAGCAATAATTTTCCTAAATAATTAATTTATAGAAATCGATTCGCCGAGCAGACGGCAACCGTATGTAAGATACCTACTTCAATAACGTACTTAATCTTCTAAGGCATACGTGAGCTGAAGATATTTACTTCAGTGAATAAAAAATTTTTATAGGGGATTTTTTTATACAATACCAGCTTGCCAACTAAAAATTAATTTCAAGACATGTAATACACAAGATTGTTACAATTATTTTTAAGAATGCCAAATACGTATTTTAGAATGAGTTTTTATTAAATTAATATACAGGGTGTCACGTAGTCACCGGAACATCTTTTCACTTCCAGTGGCTTAGTATTGCAATCATTTTTGGATGGATGTTTGATGTGGATGTTTGTTTCAGGTGGCGTGGATACACATAGATCGTCAAATGATCTTGACGATTCATCGGCACGTTATATCTAGAGTGCCCCGGTTCAGCGTGACCCACGACAATGCAAAGACTTGGTTGCTGCACGTCAGTAGCGTACAGAAAGAAGACAGGGGTTACTACATGTGCCAAGTAAACACGAATCCCATGATCAGTCAGGTCGGATATCTTCAAGTAGTGGGTGAGTAATGTCGAGACTTTATTTTATGCGAAAAGATTTCACAAAATTTATACATCTGTTTCTGCTCTTTTATAAATGCGGGTAATTTTAAGAAGAAAGTGTGCTATATAAATGTCCTTAAAAATGCCCCCGATGTTTTAAATAAACAGATTTCGAGCCCTAATGGCGCTATTAAATAAACTGAAATTATTCATTACATTTATTCCCCAAATTACACTAACGATATTACGGTTCATTACGTTTAAACCCTTTCTGCCCGACCTATATACGCCAAAAATTATCTCGCACAAACACAATTTATATAATAAAGACCTCAACGTCATTGATTCATTAACAAAACACACAAAAAAATACCATTAAACAAAAATACATGCAACCATTCTTTCACGATTTACAAGCAACAATGGCCCTAATGGAGCATCTCTTAATTATCCCCAGAAAATCCAATTGCCAAGACTATTACAATGTTTATTCGCGCCCCCATCTATAAATCATTTATCTCCCATGCTCACATGTCGAATACGAACGAAGAGAAAGAGTTAATTATTTATTTATTTTTTCCCCAGTTCCGCCCAACATCATCGATACTGAAAGCACGCAATCTACGGTCGCCGTCCGTGAAAACCAAAACATAAGTCTAACGTGCAAGGCAGATGGGTTTCCCACGCCGAAAATCATGTGGAGGAGGGAGGATGGCCAGCAAATTTCCGTCGAACGCCGAAAAAAAGGTTCGTACAGTCAACTTTATCCAATCAAAAAAAATAATACACCAATGTAAAGAAAAACCATTAATTTGTAAGATGCCGAAAGAAAAGGTTTATTTAAAAAAGATACAGTTGTTTAAAGTAAAGCAATACGGAGAAAATTCAGGTTTTAGATTTTAACGGAATTTTATCTGCCTTTAAGGCGCTGTTACTTCTTATACATAACAAAAATATAAAAAATATTGTTTAAATTAAGGATGTACCTATGTAATACGATATTACGGGAGATGTAGATCAGTTAATTTCCAACAAAAATATTTATTACTTATTTCAAAATCCTAACTATTCTGTGAGTTAAAATTAAAAAAAAAATGTATTTTGTTTAAAACTTTTCAAACTTTCACCTAAGATATCTTTTGAATGGATAGGTTTACGAAAAAATTATAAAATATTTTTTTTGTAGAGCATTTATTTCTGAATAAAATGAAAAAAACCGTTATTAAGTTCACAAATTAGTTTTCACCAGAAACCAATTGGAAAAACATCCCCCTGGCCAGATTATTATTGCAGTGTGACTTCATTTCTATCAATTATGACTTCCCCCGTATATTTTTGCAAACATCTGACGTGATATCAATACTAAGTGATTCGATTAAATCGGCGGCTAAGTTAAAGCATTCTCAGATTTATGCGGTTCTTCTAAAGTTGACATTCCGCTAGCGGTCAACCTGAGAAGGTAATGGCACTCCAGAGAGCTTTTTCCTATCGTTTATCAGCTTTTCCTTTATCGCATTGTCCTTCTTTCCTGTTGTTTTAACATTTTTCTGACGCTCATGGCTTACAACGCGACGGTCAACTATTTACATTTTTCGTTAATAGGTTTTTATAAAAAAAAACAGTTGATAGAAATATGTTTACTTTTATAATATGTAGAAACGCCTTATAAAGGTAAAAACTCGTAGATCTATTAAAATGGCATTTAAAAATATGTTGTTTTGTGTATGGCCGCCAAATGATTAGATAAAAAAAAATCAAGAAATCCAACGAGGTTTCAAATTACATAAGTTATGAAATATATAAAATAGATGGTGTAGTGGTTTTTACATGTAAAACTTAATTTTTTAAAATTCCCAGGAATAACGAAGATAACGATTTTTTGTTATAAGTTGTTTTTTAAATATTTCTGGATCCACAGTTTTTTCCAATTCATAAATTTTATAAATAATTAGTCAAAAATATTAGTGGCTGCTTTTTCACTGTACCATGGTTAACCATGGAATACCATGGTATCCCAAAATTTAACAGCAAATTCATATGTTAAATTGTCCCCTGAATACGAAAATACCGTCAAAAGTTAAAAAAAGTTGTACAGTTTTTGAGATATAGTCAATTTTCCATTTAATATGGAATTGACTATATCTCAAAAACTGCTACACTTTTTTAACTTTTGACGGTATTTTCGGATTTAGGGGACAATTTTACAAAAGAATTGGCTTGGGATATCATGGTATTCCATGGTTAACCATGGTACAACTTAAAAAGCAGCCACTAATAACTATTAAATTAGTTATTTTTGACTAATTCATTTTTATAGAGTAGGCTTGTAATTATACAGCTTTTCCCTGATGTAGCTCTTCAACTAAAAAATACCCGAATTCTACAAAACTTAAAAATTTCATTATTTTCACGTATTATTTCGTATTTTTTGCAGTGTAATAAAATGTCAAATATTGTTATGTTAAATATGTACAAAGAGGGCATGTCAGTTGGTTTTGTAATAAACCGAAGTGGTCTTAAAATAAACTTATTATTAAAATTAGTTTTGTTTGTGGATAACTTAATAAGCCTTATTTTGGTTTTCATTTCACTTTATAAATGGAAGCATACATCGTTAAGTAAAGGGTGAACCTTTGACATGCCGTTTGTGTGTAATTATGAATTCCGAAAATTAGTACTTATATCTGATCTTGCAGTGGATATCAGGTGGTTTTGTCGAATATGAGGGTTGCACAAGCAGCTTACGACCCTGCTTCTTCCCCGTTGAACCTCTTAAATATTGCAAAAGCTAATCTAAAGCATCTGCGCGTCTGCGCGTCGAGCTTTGAAGGTATCAGCTATGCAGATAAGTGTGAAAAGATGTTGTCTTTTTATGTCTCTAATTGCCGTCTTTAATGACTCAACTTGGTCATTTTGTCAAACTCACACGTCCTCTTTCTTACGTGCGCATTTTCTTTATTATACACTTATTACTCATTTAATATTAACGCGACGTTCTGCGCTCATCCCCGCAAATTGGATTACGTCTAGTATATATTTTAATCTTGCTTGATATCGCTTTAAAGTAGTGCTGCATTGCTTGCTAACTAACCCCGATTAATTACTTTTTTGTAATATTATTCAAATTAAAAAATTAATTTTTAAAAGTAATTTTAAGGGCTGTAGTTTTAAGATGATTTTTTTGACCTAAAAATTTAGTAATAGAGATGTAATTGATTTTTTGGGGACAATAAATTGAGGCAATTAGTGAGGGTGGTCTATTTTCTTTGCAAGAACAATTACAATGATCGTGGAGTTCGGTTTGCCAGTGAACCTATAATATGAAGGACTTAATTACGTCTTTCCGCATTGGGAAGATAATAAAGAAAACTAATTTGGCAAAATACTCGTGAAAATTTTAATACGTGTAAAAATAAAAATTTGCTACATTTTTGTTACATTTTATATTAATGTATACTGACATTCAACGAATTAAGAAAAAGACAGTGTTGTGTTGGAATTTTGCATATGGCGAAATATCTGCATGCAACAGCAACTATATGCAACGGTTTCTTTTAAATAATTATGAATATTCAGATTTTGCAACATGTCTCAAGTTGTTGTACTACTATTCTACTCATTAGATTAATAAAACAAGTCATATGCTGTGTTCTCTCTGGAATGAGTGAATAATTTTCTTCATGCCAAACATAATAAACAATTTTGGCATTTATTTTTCTAGACTAAATGTTTCTTCTCATTTAATTACATTATATTACATTACATTATATAATTTAAATCAATAAAGGCAAAAATTGCGAACAATTAACACCATTTCAATGATTAGCGTTAAATAAAACAATAAAATATTCCACTTGTAACAATATCTCGTATTTTACACCAACAAATGATCATTATTTATTTATGTCATTATTACAAAAATTACAGCATTCGAATATTTTCAAATATTTAATCTGTTTATTTATCATTAAAACTTTTTTAAACAATGCATTGTAGGCGGACGGTTAGTTAGTAATTAATTTTAGGCTCATTATTAGCTACGCAATTATTCTTTTAATTTGTTAATAAAACCGATATTACACTAATATATTAAATACTTGATTTATAATTCATTTATTGTAATTATTAAATTCTGCCATACCATTAATATACTACACAATTATTTTCAATTTAATCAGATTTAATTAACAAATATTAACTTAACTCAAAAATATAAAATACTAACAGAAACAAAGTGTAGCAGATATTTTATTATTTGTTCCTTAAAGAATACGATTTTTATAAATAAACCAATCAGAGCAAAGCATTCTCCACAGCACAGTAAATGCGAAAAAAATCACGAACGTTTAAAACATTACTTCACATGCATAATATCCTAAAAACATTTAGCAATCCCAGTGATAAAGTAAGAAATGTTTGAAAACCACAAATTATGAAGAGGCTTAGAGATAAAAAAAACCAATTTAAAATAAAGACAATGCAAATCAAAAAATTCCCCTGTTTATAAGTTATACTACTTACTCTTTATTGATAATTATTAAAACTGAAAAAGGTTTAATGGCAATAAATTTAAAATAAGCATTTTAGAATACATTTATTGATGAAAAAAATTAATAAAATAGAAGAAGTTAAAAAAAATTGGCCAGAAAATTACTTCGCACTATAAAAATATTAAAATCATGGGACATATCTTAGCGTTGTGGGCCTGGTCGAGGATCAGGTGGTGGAATGCCTGGGGGTAGAGGTGGTGCCGGGGGTGGTGCCGGTCTTGGCAAATTTTGGTCCTGCATAGGCTCACGGTAGAAGACGAACCCAGAAGTACCCATAATTAACCACTGCTGAAAAAAATAATTTAAATTTTTTGTATTTATAAAATTGACGAATTCACCTTTGGGTTCATCATAACTTGACTACTTCTTGAAGCTTCGAAAAAAAGATGATCAAACAATGGCTTTTTGATGAATATATACTATATACTGGTGCTATCTCCAGCCAATGGCAGTAAGTTTGGTACCGTGTGGCATGATTTTGAATGAATCAATTTGTTTATTATTTGTAACCTGAGATTTTTTAATTAATAGCGAGGAAAATAAGTTTTGAGGGTAGATCGTAATAATGATAATAGGGAAAAGTTGGTTTTGCTAATAAAATAGTTGATCCTGTTTAATTTCACGCAGAATAAGAATTCATTTATAATGATGAAGTTTTGTAAAATTAATTTTAGTTAAAAAGCTATTTAGGACAAAGTCCATAAAATATTTCTTCGTTGCTTTAAAATCAAGTACCTAAAACATTCACTATTAATATTAATTTTCTTTAGGGGTAATATAGTATTACTTCTTACAACTTTATGATCCATAATTCCTGTAATTTATTATGTCCCCAAAATTCCAAGGAATCTTTCTTTATTATTATTAGTTGATTTATTTACACAGAATATTAAATTATCAAACACCAGCCTTCCATTAATTAATATTAATAAGAAATCATAATTTGTAATTATCTAAGGTTTTTTAATATTATTACTTTTGCATCTCTCTTTTTTAGCGCTGTGGAGATTGGTTTATTGCTTTCTATATATAAATCTCTATAGAGATCATTTTCTTTAGAATGTAAAGTCGCAAATTTCAAAAAACACTTTGCTTTAAAAAGAAAATAAATATAAAAATAAGGCAGAAAACACTGCGAATGGGTGTTAAATAATTAAAATTTTGAGTAGTAACCCTTTAAAATATTTTTCTGGGATTAGATGCATCAGGAATCGTGCATTAAATATGTTTATACCGGGTTTATCCCAGTATATCTGTCTAAGCTTCCTCGAAACGTGAGCTGTAAAATAAGTTTTGTTAAAATTTCTTGCAGATATAAATCTTACACGTAAAATTTCAAACGTACAAAATTTAGGATATATTTCCTATTTATTGTACGCGTATTCATAAATCCTGGACAGCCTGAAAGATTTATAACGGACGCAAAAAAAACGTTCACTGTCTTTCTCTTTAATCAATTATTTAGAAAGATCAGTAATGATAAATCAATTTATTTAGCGAGAATTAATTAGTTTTTTTAGGTTATTAATATTTAATGAAAATTTAACATTTAACTAAGGTTTATTATTATTTATTTAGCAACTGCACGGCTTCACCCGTGTTTGCTGTTCCGTACTGTCCCCTATTTGGGGCTCGAGAGCGACATGCGAATAGTTTTAATAGCCATTCTCGGGTTCGCCGAGCCGATGCTATACGCCCAGTAGGGTATAGAGGAGGAGGGACGGGAGGGATAGACGTTTGTTGGTTTTTGGGGGACAATTACGCCGACTTAAAACTAAGTACGACGCGGAATCCCCCTAGACCAGTCGATTAGTATTACTCCAAATATTTGGGATTACTATTTGGAGTTGGGGAGTTGTTATTTCGCTGCAGGGGTGTAGTTTCCTAGTCGAGGTCTTCGTCTTGTTCGTTATTGTCATTGCCCGTGTCCTCAGTCTTGATGCCGAAAACCATCAATAGATAGTTCAGTAGCTGGATATGTAACTTGTAGCTTTTGGTGTTTTTTTTAATTGTTTATTGCCGCAGTAGTGCGAAATTTTCAACATTTTTTTTTTAGTTATTGTGTTGCCCAAGCACGTTTTGTGGTAGAGTTTTGTCTTTTTTTCTTAAATTCCAAAATTAAGTATTGCATTTATTTATTAGTTAAACAAATGACAAGCGCAATTATTCTGTTATCTAATGTTTACAAATCCAGTAGAGTTTGGTTATTATGCTTTTTTTTACTATGTTAGGGTTACAATGATTAATGTGTTAGTTTATTCTGTGTGTCTAGTGTTTATTATTGGTCTCGTTTTGGGTTTGCCTTACGCATTTGTTGTTGACAGATTTATTGTCCTACGCAGTGTGCCTTTCTTAGGGTTTTAAAGATATCTGTCGTGTTTAATTTGCAGATTATGTGTTAGGTCATGCATATGCTTAAAGTTACTTATCAATTTTTTGCGGATGGCCACCTCCCCTCTTGTTTGACCTCCTTTGTTTGTCCAGTAAGAAGCGTCCAATGACAGGTGGCACTTAACTCATTCATCACTTAACACTTCACTCCTCATTGACCGTTGCACTATTTTAGTTTGCACTCTATGAAAATTGTTTGTTTCACTATAATTGGTTTGCACATTTTAAAAATTATTTTGGTTTTAATCTTTAAACGTTTACGTTTTAAGAGCTCTCGCTCTCGCGTGGTGCCTTCTCAAGTGCTGGAACCAGACTGAACCCCAATTTTACGACCATATTTACAAAAAGTCATCTAATAACTAATTGTTGGTTTTAATCTTTAAACTTTTACGTTTTAAGAGCTCTCGCTCTCGCGTGGTGCCTTCTCAAATGCTGGAACCAGACTGAACCCCAATTTCACGACCATATTTACAAAAAGTGATCTAATAACTAATATTAATTTAAAACAAAAAAATATATTTTAATGGTTTCAAAATAATGGCCTTAAGTTAAATGTTGACAAAACACAGTACTTAAAATTTGGAGAGTATGAGTTTACGAATAACTATATTAATATTAATAATAAATATACCTTGAAGTTAAATACTTCAATTAAATTTTTAGGTGTTATTTTGTAAAACAAATTTGTATCGAAGGAACAAACAGATAGTGTTTAACAAAAATCATATACTTTGTTCAACACTGTAAACATTGCAAGATTTCTGAACAATCCATTTTCAAGCCATTTTATGTTCGTTAGTGCGTTAAAATCTCTATGATCTTAAATCAGTGTGAACTTTTTTTTTCAGTTTCTGTGTATAACGGGGAGCAGCTAAATTTGACCCGTATTAGCCGAACGGAAATGGGAGCTTACCTCTGCATAGCTACTAACGGCGTACCACCCTCCGTTAGCAAACGTATCATCGTAGATGTCGAATGTAAGTAAATGTTGCATATTTCCTCAATAACTCATTATTATTTACGTGCCCGTTAACCCTGGTGGCACTATCTATTTCTATTGCTATTGATTCGCGAAGGCGCCTCTATTCAAATCAAGGGCAAATAATACCCTTTAGATATGCTCAACAGAAAATACATCAGTCCCACGAATAATTCAATTGTCTACGCTAATCCTCATTAAAATTTATGTGATTTGAATTTTTAATAGCGCTCCAATGTTCGCACTTTACTTTTATATAAAAAAATGAACTAATGTTTTGCCATAAGTAGTTTGCTTAAGAAGGACTTAATTTTCTGATTAAAAATTTACCAGCCAACTTACCGGTGTAAATGCTTCTGGCTACATGCATTAAATTTGAACGAAAACTATTATATACGGGCCTGGCTCTTTTTGACTTATAAATTAATTAAAATACTCTCCATGCATCTGCATTTAAATCATTAAACCATCTTAAATTTATGTTTGCAAACCACTTAAACTGCTAATTTTTATAAAGTAATATATTAAAAACGTAGCATGTATACCCGAGCTTTTAAATTCTCCCTTTAATATTGTCAAGTTTCACAGACCAAAGTAAAAGCTTTCTGCATACCATTTTTCCATCCCAAAAATTGATTGCAATATTTATAATTACAAGATCTCAAAGTTGGCTATATTCAAAGCCAAATTAAACTTTAAATTGATTTTGATGTCTAAAACTTTGATCCATAAAACTTTTCATATTTAACGTCCTTAGATAAAGGAAGTCATCTCAACCTCAAAACATCTTAATACGCCGATATAACCTGCACATATCTAAGCCCTGTTAAATTATTACTATAGTGTCATTATTACTCTCGCACAGTCATTTAGATTAAAGTTAAGTAAATTATTAAAATATGTTTGTAAAATATAGCACATGAAAAATCTATCTTCTGCGAGGCAGCAACACTTGCAAGATTGATTTTTCACCTTTAAGTTAAAATATTTCCCATATTTTCCAACATTTATTTTAATAGTTCAAAAGATAAATTGTCTATTTGGATTATCATATTGTATCACTGTGTGGCGGGAATAGCTGGAATTTCGCACTCATGCCTAAAGGCTTAATTTACGCCCCTTCATTCACACCACAACACAACACGATAGTCACTAGTGGCGTGCATTAATTACAAGCAAAAAGCAGTGCCACCTCAGAGTTGGCCATTTTTTTTTGGAATTTCGTAAAAAGTGTTGTAAGATAGAACCAGTTAATTTAAAATGCCTACCTTGCTCTAAATGGCTCTGCACGCCACTGTTAGTCACATATGATGAATTTTTTCAAAATATCGTTTCGTTTTAATGCGGAGACAATTAAATTAAAACTACAAATGTAATAATATGTAAAGTAGATTTTTTCCTTGTACGAAAAATCATTTGGTGTAGCAAAAAAGCAGCCATTACGGTTTGAAGTGCCATAAATGTAATGTTAGCTCGGGCTGATATTAGCATATTTAAAGATCATGCCTTTTATTGCGACGATTATCTTTTCTATGTAATATTCGTCTTGTGTGTACATTCAATATAATACAATGTATGTATTTTTAAAATTTTTACGACACTTATTATTAGATGATACAGCGGTGCTTATAAATACTTTGTAAAATAGATCAAAACACGGGCAGTTTTATTGATAAAAGTTTTAAGCTTTGTGTGTTTGAAATAACATCTAATCAGAATAACAATACTTTGTAAAAATAATTTTAAATCAATTTGTATCATAGTAAATTGTTTGCTGAAATTGACCCAGTTTAATCATGTATGAGGCATGAAACAGTGAATAAGTGTTTTTATGTTAATTAAAAGCTTTTAAGACCCTTGTTGCGCCGCGGCGCTCAAAAGAGATTGAAATATAGAAATTTAGATTAGAGTATATTTATCCCCTTATCCAACTACAAAATAGATTTTACCTTTAGGTATTTAGCCTTTTCATTATACCCGATTAAATGAAGTTCATATTGAAGCCATTTAAAGGCTTCTTCGTTCTATAATTCCATGAGCTTTATTTTAACAAAAAACTCGAAAACAAGGCTTATATGCATTTTAAAGCAATAAATATGCAAACAAAGTTGCATTTTACAGTATTTCTAAGACACGGCTTAATTGCAAAGATTTTATATTGGAAAATTGTGAGCAAATTTAGAGCATAGCTTATGTAGTGTGATAACTAATATATATATATATATATATATATATATATATATATATATATATATATATTTTAATTGCAAAAAAATTATTTTTGACACGTCGCTCTATGAATTTGGTTTTCGGCACATTTTAATATTCCATCATTTATATCGAAACTGCTGTATCCTGCTTCCGATGCCTTTAATTAACAAAATTAGTTTAAGCTCACGTTCCATCATTCTCATTATTTGAACTCCATTTAATATGCATCTAATTAATTTAAGTTAAAGTTTTTCACTGCGAATGTTAATGCATCGTATATATTTCATGGCAAACTTACTTGTGGTCTAGCAACCTTACCCAAATAATTGTGTTATTTAATATTTTGGTAAATTGCCAACGACAACTACATCAAAAATAGTAAAAAAAACAATGTTATTAATGCTTAAGTGGTGTCAATTTACTCAAAATGGTTAAAAATTAAACAGAAGAAGAATGGATTCATAAATATATGAATAAGCATTGGGTATAAAATCGATTTTTCAAAAGAGTTACTTATCGCTTACAAGCCATTACACGCGTTACATATCAGAGCATATATCGCACAGTGACTGCTCCATTGCTCCAGCGAATGTACAAGTTTTGTTTGTTTTATTCCTACTTTGCCGAATCATAACGATTCAATATAAAATTCAAATAGCGACTATATCTTATAACGGTGCACTCGATAAACAGAATTGCCTTAATGCTGTGTACACAATTCAAAATTGAATGTACTCACATCCAGCTCTCTCTCTTACTCCTAATAAAAAATAATTGCAGTGTTATTTCACATATTTTAATAAACACTTTTAACCAATTCCCTTTTAACATTACTTATTTTTCGACCCAGACTTAAATAAATGGTTATTCTTTCGCAATTTTACACTTTAGCGAATTTTACTTTCTATACTCTCTAAAAGTGAAACAGTGAAATTTTCACTATTTCCGTCAGTGAATTATTATTCACTGTAAAATTAGTGTTTTTCAATATAAATTAGTGAAATTTTAACTTCTTCAAATTAGTGTTTTTTATTATCACTACTTTTCCGGAACCCTCGACATAAAATAGTGAAATTTTAACTTTTTTGAACTAAACCTATTTCACTAATTTGTACAGTGAAGAAATCGCTACATGAAAAGTGAGTATTCACTAATTGCTAGTGGTATACTTATCACTGCGGCAAATAGTTAATATGCACTGTCAATCAGTGAAAATCCACTGTTCAAATCAAATTTTTCATGATACGCTTATAATATTGATCTTACCCGATTCACCCTGTATACAACCGATTAGTTGAACTGACCTTCTAAATCTTTATTAGGCCAACAATAGAAACATTTTTGTTGTCGGAATTAATTGATTGAATGTCTGAACATTTTTAAATGGCGAAATCATTGCGGTGGTATTTTCTTTGAAGTGGACGTTTAATGAAGTGGAGTCCAGTTCATAATAAGATGAGGAAATCTTGCGCTCATTGGTGCTCAATATTGCATTCCGTTTGATGGTGATATTTTGACATGTCCAGTATTTGAAATATGTAATGATAACTTGGACAAAAGGATTTTACATTAACTTAGGGAGAAATTTCGTGATTAGTTTAAATTAAATTTGACTAAATGAAATACCTTTAATTTAGTCATATGCGAAGCGCTGGCGACTATATGGTTCAATTAATATTTCTCGAGAGACAGCGGAAATATTTGAATAACCCGTGTTGTTTAAATAAGAAATATATTAAATTTTTTAACTAAATCGCATATATATAATATATATTGTAGGTCAAATTTCAATCGTACGCTCTATACATTTCATGCACTTCAGAGAACATATATTTTGTATAAAAAATACTTTGACATTCCTAATTTAATTTGTTTCTATCCGAATACTCTTTGAACTCCTTTTGAATATAATTGACTTAAGCCTGCATATGCATAGAAAAACCTGAAAATCTTTTTTACTTAAGAAAAGAGCTTATACTTATGCTATTTAATCAAATAGTTTTCCTACTTTTCATATCATGATCAAATGCTTTTAAAGTTACCTGCTCGGAAATGTTATTTAACATTAATTTTTATTCCTTTTTTAATAATATATGTAAAAGTTTTAAAACCAAAACTTTCTTGTTATTAATATTTTTGTATTATACGCATAATACAAGGTGTTTATGAGCAGTTTCGCTGGCGCAGTCGCTCGGATACAACATTAAAACCATATTAGGGCAAGCAGTATTAATGTCGGAGACATTTCAGCTGAAGTAGAAGAATTGAGGTTATTTTTGGCGGTTGCATTACCTCGAAGATAAATGCAAAGAGCCAGAGAACAAGCTTACACGCATACGAGAATCTTATTGTTTTACATTCCACCCTCGTATCGCTAAGATCACGTAACTATACACAAAACACGTGAAATTCTCGTTATGTAAATTGTTACTACGTGGCAATATGTTACTACTACCCCAAAAAATACTCCGACACTCTATTTTCCTAGTTTTACCCGGTCGACATGTTTTATACAACGAAAAAACGCACGTGAAGTTGTTTAATTAATCTTTGTTTGCCTCTTTTGCCTTTTTACTGTCTTTACTAGCATATATAATCAAGATCAAAAGGCAAAAGAAGACAAATTAGTTATGGCGCAGTTGCTAGGATATTTTAATAAATATCATTAAATCCCTCACGTGAAGTTGTTTAATTGATTCTATCAACTCGTTAATCATTAGGCTGCCTAAAAGGAGGGCGGAAATTCTTTATCCTAAATAATAAATAAAGTTTTTTGCGGAATTTATTGCTTCTAATTTTGTGCTTAATTCTCATAATATATTATATTTATTACATTCAGAAAATATATTTTATAAATGAGTAATGGGAGAAGATTATTCTTTTCATCTTTCCTTGGAATCCAAAAATGTTTTCTTTCCGAAATAATAAACTTCTGGTGGGTAAGAATATGAACGTAAACCGCAAGCAATTTATTACGAAATTCGTTAATTCTAAGTAATTTAGCAAGAACTAGAAATGGAGGCTTCTCAACAACCTCTATTAATTAAGTAGCACGTCTAGACAAACTGTTCACTGTGAAAATACTTTCCTTGTGCCGTTTTTAATTAATTATTTATCATATAAAAAATGTACCTTACATATGTACATGATAAATCGTAGAAAATCATGTTTTCATTTTTTCTCCAGTCAAACATATTCATTCGTCTTCTTGACAGTTAAGCAGACAAAACAATGTATTTTGCAAAGTACTGTCCTAATTAATTACTTGTTTTCCAGCAAAATTAAAATATTTTATTGAAATTTGCTTTCATTTGATACAACACATTCAATTAAATACTATTTATTTTATAAATTTGATAGATATGCATGCAAACAGGCTTTCTGGTGAAATAACGACATGTAAAGTAAATACGAAAAAAATCCGAATAAATATTTGCTTTTAAAATATTACTGATATTGTTTCATAAATAGGCAATACCAAAAGCTATCCATTTAATTAAATATTTCATTGTAAAACTCATTTAAAACAAAATAAATTATAGATGGCTTAAACAACAGCAAAACTTAATTAGGTGTACAGAATTTATTAAATTAATTTTATGTTGAAGCCAGTATCTTGTAATTTTTAAATTAAACTACCTAGAAAGTTTTTTAGCTTTGCAAAATTACTTTCCAGTTTCCAGTATGTTCAGAACTTTATATAAATAATAATAATAATCTTGGATAAAACGCCCGTATATGTTTCCTGTCAAGAAAGGGGATAGAAGTGACCAAATGAAAAATGGGAGTACGTTTGAAAATGTCAAAAAATAAACAAACACTGGGGCGGAAAACGAATATTTTCCTTCTTAAAGGTGTGCGAATAAAATAAATATGCTTTTATAACTTCGAAAAAAAGACACAAAAACTTATTTGTTGAAAACTTTGTATATATTACTGCTATTATCATACGCTCTTAACATTGGCATTCTTTATTTCTCTCTTCGCAAAAACCCAAGTTATACACTTTGCCGCAAAATGCTAAATTACAGTCATTTATTCTTTTTTTGGGTCGACTCAATATTATGTGCACGTTCTGGGACAACATTTGCAATGTCCTTTAGTTCATTAACTGTTTTAATCGATGCCAACACACAGTTTGTTTTTTCCTTTAATATCATTTTTGCATATTTTGGGCTTCCCCAACCAAGTCGATTAGGGTTCTAGTGAAAATGCAAAAACACATATTATAAATGGCGCAGTCGGTAGGATATTGCAATAAATACCATTAAAATGTTTTTTGCAGTTTCTCCAATGATCTGGGTGCCGAACCAATTAGTGGGGGCTCCGGCCGGGACTGATGTTACTATCGACTGTCATACCGAAGCCTACCCGAGAGCCATCAGCTATTGGGTGTACGAGAATGTAATGTTGCTACCCACAAAGAAGTATGGCACCGACACAACTGAAAACAGCTACAGGGCCCACATGAAATTGACGGTGCGAAACCTACAGACTGGAGACTTTGGAAACTATCGATGCATCTCGAAAAACTCTCTCGGGGAAACTGAGGGATCCATTCGCCTATACGGTAAATAAAATATATCTACTTAGCTGGCAAACGAATTTTAAATTTGTCCGATCGCTGTCTTTATTTAACTGTTTTTTTTCATAGCCTCTTTTCGCTTTATTTAAATATTCACGTCAAAGTATTTCCAAATCCCATCATCCTAATTTTGCTACAACCAAACAAAATTATCCTTCAAGGTCAAACCTTACTGCAGAAAAAATCAAATTGGGACACTCATGATTGTATCTACTTAATATAATGTTTTATTTTGGGTGCAATCAATCAAAGCACAAAAGCTGGAAAGTGATTTTTTATTTAAAAAATATGGCTTCTCCCCGAAGTCTAACTCATCAATAGCTTTCCCCTGGGTGGCATATTTTACATTTTGGCGAGCTTTCATAGCAGTTTTTAATTGTGGAGCAGAAAAAAAATAAATTTCAAACTCTGTTAATGGGACAAAAGTTTAATATAAATCACGTATATTCCATATGCAAAACTTTTGCTATCAATTATCGAAAAGGTTAAAGACGTTAAACGTAAATGTCTTAAACACTCAATAACAGTTCCCCACTTTTAACATAATTTTATGCATTACCATTGTTCCGAATAAACAGTCAGTTTCTTAACGAAACGAACGGTTTGTTAAATAATAGTTTGCTATTCAAAACTTCTCTTTGCCCCATGTTTTTGTTCTTTGTTTTTATTATTATTTTGCTTACAACTTTAAGAATATAATTGCTTTAATCGTACCAATCCGATTGCGCCTTTCCTAAACCTTTGTCCCATTGATGCCATGATTATGTCGCTTGACAGTAAAAAATTATATTCGCCATGTTATTACAACGAAAATGCGAATGTGCTTGTTTTTAGGCGAAAAGCAATTTTCTTTATGTTGCAAAATAACTAGCAAATAAGTTTCCCCTAAAAGTTAAATTTTTAGGTAGACACATAGAGTCGTATGAAGACTTTTCTCATGAGAGATTTATAGACCACCCTTTTTTATCAAAATAAATTATTTTCTTCCAAACATAAAAATATATTCTTATGGAATGACAACTAAATCTTCATTGATCATCCATATCAATATATTATTAATATACTGTAACGTTTTTACTGTTCGTAGTGGAAATTAAAACACGCGCTGGTTATTTAACGAACTAAACTATTTATTTAATTACTTAATTACATATAAAACACTAAGAAACTATAAAACTAACTAAACACTAAACTACTAATTATTTATATATCACTACTGTTCAAGAGTCTATTTATTTGCACGTATATTTATTTATTTCGTCGCGAGTACCAAAACTTCATTAATTGCTCCATGCTACGCTGTTCCCTATATATTCAGTGCCCACGTGCCTTCCCGAATATTTCAGCGAGCTCTGGACCGCTCTCGATCGCTCGAGTGCTGACTCACAGGCCATGACTCATCGGCGATGAGTCATCATTCCGAATTCCAGAGCGGTACTCGCTACAATATACATTTCTTTAAATTTGCTTTACTATCTATAGAGAAATAGAAATAGAAAGTTGATCGTCTCCAAATGGTCCAAAATGAGTATTAAATACCTATACGTTTATCATTATTTTTAAGTTTATTGGAAAGGATTAATTCAATTTTTATTTAATCCCAAAAATAATCCCGACAAGATAATTTGTTTTTTCTTTAATAAATCAAACAGCGTATTAGCAATAAAATTTAGAAGACATGCAAAAAAACCATATCATTAAATTCGCAAAAGGGTTGCATGATATTTTGGAGGTCAACCAATTTAAAGATATTTTAAGATTGTGCATTGTGCTGCCAAATTAAATTGGAATAATTCAAATATTTTTTTGTTTATAAATGCATTAATGCATCAAAGTTCGTAATTGAGTTTTGAAATTAAAGGCCACAGAACAAACGGATTCTAATGATTAAAAAATAAATTAAATGGATAACGTCATAAATACTGACCCTAACTAATCATTGCAAATTTATCACCGAAATGACCAGCATGCACCAAGTTTAACCCAGTGAATGCAATTTGACACAATGGAATCTTTTTTAAATTATTGATAAAGGCCTTATTCAGGCTAATTATGCGACTGCGCCATTTACACCTAACCTTAATTTAAATATTTAACAAGGTTTTTATTTTTAACGTCTCTGCTTGTTGATTTTCTACTTTTTGTCAGCTACAGTATTCCATTAATAATAAGAAAATCATGTCCTATAAAATAAACAAAATACAATAAATAGAAATGTAATAAGAAAATGAGGAAAAAAACACAAAGCAATTGTTTTTTTGTTTCAGAAATTCCAATGCCATCTACACCCCCAAGAGCAACTGAAATGAAAAGTAATTCGAATAAAGAAAGTAAGTATATTTGATTTGCATGTTTTCCGCTACCTGAGAAATAAAATTATTACCACGTTCACATGTAAATGTAAATATGGCAATTTATATTCGCAATAAGAATTCTAAATTAAAAATTTATCTATTAGAAAACCTATTTTAAAATCGCTATGCGAATGAAACAAAATTAAATGCAAATTTTATTTAAACAAAAATACAATTCGTTTTAAACAAAACCATTTTAATCTATTTAATGGGGATGTATTAAAATACAAACAGTTTTTAAGTTTTTATGGATACGTAAGTTAAAAATTGCATATTAAACAGTTTAAAATGTGAAAAAGTATAATAGTTATTTAGTCCTTCGGAGGGGACTTTAAGCCCGCGGTCCGTTCCTACCCCTAACCCGCACAAGCCATTCAGTTGGCTTATGGGACTTCTTAAGAAGTAAGGGTGGAACTAAAAGAGCACTTTTTTTTTATTCCAATTGTAATGTATCCTTCATATCGTTCGAAGAAAAAGTTTTACTGGACTCGGAGAAAAGTGTTTTGGGAATGGTGGTGATTCCCAAATTTATATTTAATAACTGAAGAATATTAATTACAAAACTAACTGAAAAAATACAAAAACGTTAGAGGAATGCTATAAAATTATGACAGATAAAAAACTCTATAATAATATAAATAATAAGATTTACGGTTACTAAAGATGCGTTTATCTATTTTGCGTTCATAATGACTTCATTATAACACCGCTTTCGGTGCTGTAATGAGATACTTTATTCCACTCAAAATATTGATTTTATAGGCTATACTTTAAACAGCATATTATTTTGCATATTGGTTATAATATTTTTATGATTTTTCTAGTACTTATGAGACTTTTCTGACTTCTTTAACATTAACAGCCGCTCGTTGTAAATAAGTAAATTAAGGACGGCATGGAGAATCGATTTTGACATTAACTGTCAAACCAATGACTGTGATACCAACTATCTAAAGTAAAATTCGACCAAATTAAATTTAAGGTATAAAATTACTTTTTTTATAGAATTTTTGCAAAATAGATAAAATAGCCTAAAAAACTCATGTCATAAGACTTTTTGTCGCACTCGTCAAAATGACGTCTTATGACATTAGTTCTTTAATATACTATTATTTACGACGAACAAAAAGAAGAATTTATTTGTTAAACATTTGTCATCTGTCAACTGCCAACGGATTTAACCTAACTTTTGCCGTGTCTAAACTGCCCAAAAGTTACTGTTGCTAACTTTAGCCGTGACTAAAACGCCAAAAGTAATAAACTTAATTATGCTACGTTATTATATAATAAAATATAAATCCTTAATATTTAGTATTCATTACTTATAAAAATCAATATCCAATGGAATATTAATAGTAAAATGTTTAGTAATGGTTATAACAGTCCATATAGTATTACAAAATATGTTCTGGGTTTACAAATAAATTACTTCTCCCAAAGTTATAGCAACAAGTACTAAATTTAAAAATTTACTTTTCTTCGTGTATTTGTACAATAATTTTTGTGCTTGTGTTTTTGCTGCTGTTATATGACTATCTGTACAGATATATAAAGCGATTGATTTTTTGTTAAAAACGCAAACATAATTATTTTAATAACTTTTTTATTTGATTTTAGAGTGTCGCTTTACAAAAAAACGTATATTTGAATTTAATAAAGCCCTTGAAAAAAGAATGAGCAATAACCATTCATGGTGAAAACGGTGTCTAATATAACCGCTTTATTAAAGTTCTATAGCAATAAAAACTAAATAAATATAATTAAATCTTACCTTAAAGCTTTGGTCTTTTCCTTCGCAGATCCTCAGATTTCTTGATGTTTCATTTGGCAAATAATAAGACTTTATGTAATTGTTTCTTTTTTTACCGCTGATTTTATCGTATTACCGTCGCGACAAATTGCGTTTAATCAGGGAAACAACGTTTTTTGATAACCGAACAATAAAAAACTAAAGCTACAGATGGTTAGGGCCAGCTTGTGTTTTCTTATATCCTATTTCGGCTTAGATGAATTTATGACATTACTTAATTAGATGTTTCCAAGGAACCATTAATCTTAATGGCATGTACATTCGCAATTGTACGAGTAACATTTGACTCGGAAATCCGCGGCCATTTGCACACTCAAAAAACATTCAAATTATAAGCATATGCGGATGAAACATATTAAAATTTCATCAGCAACGCCGGCTTTTTAACAATTAATCAGACTACACTGAAAGTGATAAACTAGAAAATAAAAGTTATTTATAATGAAATACTACGGGAAAAAGCGATTGATCGGCTTTAAATGAATATTTAAAACTAATTTTATCCAGATAACAAATATATAAATCATTGGTTCAATAATGGCGGCATTTTGTTACGGAAAAATTATAATAGAATCATTTATTTAAACACTATTTTATCATTCAAAAGCTTTTGTCACCTTTAAGGTGTGCTTCACCCCTTTTCACGTTTTATATACTGGATTTTGAAACATACATTTAAGATTTATACCTATATTTGGAATGAAAGGGCCATAAACCCATAAAAGTGACATTGCGACAAGATGAGTATGAGTATAAGAACGTATGGCAGGCCCCATCGGCTACGCCTTACACTGATCTTCTAGGGTTATTTTACCCCCTTTTGGTTCTTTACGTATCCCGCCACTGCACAGCGTTACCTGTGTTTGGTGGATGCGAATTTTAACCCCGGCAGGTAATCTTCCCTAGGAGGTCGTGCATGACAGTGTCGATGGTGAGGGCCATTCCCGAAATTTTGTCGCCGGGCCGACCATACGCCCGATTTACTCTAGTAGAGTGTAGGACAAGGAGGAACAACAGATGGTTTTTGGGGGCCTTGAACTGACCATAAAAGTGACATTGCGACAAGATTATTCATAAATCGTAGACAGCAGTGATAAAAGTCAACTTTATAATCATTAAATATGTTTGCAAAATGCAGCGTCGCCTATAGAATTTATAAAGTTTTACCCCCATCAGAACCAGAAAACCAAATTACGTAATTTAAATAATATCGATTTACAATATATTTATTAAAAACCACTGCGCTTGTTTGCAATTTTAACTTTTACTGTTTAAGGCATTTACAATTTTAGCATTATAAATATTAATTTTTCTTCCTACACTATTAAAAATTTGTATTTTACCGTCTACAGAAGGGCGATAAAGTAGGTATTGGCTAGGCAGCACATATGTTTCTCACTTTTTGCAATAGAGAGCGCTGCAATGATATGTTAAATTAAAGTTAAATAAAAAAGATGTTTAATAACTTTTTTGGTTTACACAAAAGCTGTATTCTTTGTAGAATAATCGGCTTAATAAAATCTATCCTCCTGTTGTCATACGTCAGCTGTATACACCAAAAATTAAAGAACGATATGTTAACTGTCGAAATTGTTATTGTTGTGTCTTGATTGATCTATAGTATAGATTCTATACATATAAAGACAATTGCCTATGCCTCTTATTTGAGTGCATTTGTCATTTTTGGGCAATTGTATGGGAGATTTGATTAATGTGGTTGTTTAGTAAATATGGCAAAGTTATTGGCCTAGAGATGTATTCTTCAAAGTTGGGTAGTATTGCCCAGGAGAATAGAAACATACTTTGAACTCATCTCGGGGAAAGGCAGGTAAGGTGAGCTAACAAAAAGTACGCTCTCATTGTGTTTCTGAATATCACCGCAGAGAATAAGCTGCGCCCTGTCTTAACCCTAACTTTGGCCATTACAGGAGCGCGTTATTGTAATGCCAAAGTTGCTTCTTTCTTAGCCCGGGTATTTATCATTGCATATATACACAAGGCACACAGTGGAAAATATGTTTTCGGCGCCAGCATCAAGGCAAAACAATGTCTTAATTTAACTACACAATAAAAATCCACCTTTTATAATTGCATTTCTCACCAGTTTTACTCTTAGTCATTTAATTAAACATCTCCACGACTCTTAGTACTTTAACTAAATGACGTTCATCTTTATCACCGGCATACACGACATAATAAAACAGTTTCTCGCTAAGCATAACCTTTTTAATTCGTCTTGCTGGTTTCAAACATTAAAACAAACATTACCATGTTATAATTAATTTAATTAGTTAATTTAGGATAATAATATTCAATTCAAACAATTGCGTTAGTTATTATCCTCGTTCTATTTGTTGGTAAGGATTTAAAATCACCGATACTATTTTGAATTATTGTGGTCATGAGTATTAGTCTTTTCAACTTTGACCCGATGCATTCAACTTTATTGCCCTGCGGCCACCGAAGTACTAAACTGACTGAAAAAAAAAATATTAAATGATTTGTTGCTTTCCAGATTGTTTTTACGGACATCCGCATTTTTAAGTTTGACTAATCGTACCGAAATAAAAATTGATCGGACTGCAAACGCCAATAATGGCACAGATCACTTTATTTAACCGATTAATGCCGATCGCTTTATTATCCCCTTTAACTACTTGCGAAATTCCTTCCAATTGACAACCCAATAATCCAAATTTGCATCAAATCACAAAAAGTCCAAATGTAGTTTTTCGAACTTTAAAGGAATGTGGCAACTTTACTGCGTTCCTAAGAACTTTTTTCTTAAATATATAATATTAATTCATTGCTTTAATACATTAAAATTATTTTTACTTTAATTTCCAGATTGCATTCTTGCAATTACAGTATTGAGAGTCAGCCATCGTTTTTAATATATTCATTTAACTTCATAGCTTTTAAGGTTTTCGGAAATAATACTACATTTTTATCCTTGTATCCATTTAAAACCCTTTTCCAGTGTAAAATTTCGATGTATTTTTGTTTTCCGGGAGTCATTGTAATTAAGTATAATAAATAAAATGCGAAACTCGGTTGCTGGTTTTGGCAGCTGTTTTGAAGGGTGGTTCTTATTGCAGACTCTGCTAAACGAAATATCAGCAGACCCTTAGTCCAAGAAAGTCCAAAAGACAGGCCGAAAGTCGTTATGGTGTCATCATCTGAAAAGGACTCCGTCGTGAAAGTCGGCCCTCCTGTAGATTCCGGTATGGAATTGTACACTCCTCCGAATTCCCAGTCAGGTACAATTAAAAAAATTACAAAAAAAGCCACGCATTAAGAAATTATGTGGTTAATAATGCTTGCACCCAGCACAGTTCCATTATTGTTACATTAATTTAAGCACCAGCCTTTTAATTATCACAATATCTCGATTAACACCTAAATAAATGCATGTACACTCAACACTCGTGTGTTTTTGTCACAAAATTAATAGAAGCACCAAGCAATTTGCATGATTGTGCGCCATATACACGGTTCTCCCAAATGATGTGCTTATATTTAAGAGGGCGATTTTAAGAAGAATATAAATATTAGGGTGGTCCAAAAAATAAAAGTTACATATAAAAAATTAATGATATGAAACACCATAAACAAAAACTTCTTGACCAAAAATTCTTTTTGCTTTTAAGCAACACAACAGACAAAGTTAAATATCGTTTATACAGTTTTGATTCGAAAAAAACAAGCAAAAATTGAAACAAGTGACTTATGAAATACTGTAAGAATGTCTGAAGGCAATATTCAACAATGCTGTTTTCTCCATACAACTGTGGACCACCCTAATATACACTCACAGGCAAAATAATCGATCCACACAAATTTTCGATGAATTTCAATCGCAAATAACTTTTTTATTTGAGGTCGGATTTAAACGAATATTAAAGAATATTGTAGATAAATTAATGGAAAATCGCTCACATTTTAAAAAATTACTAAAAAATAGACGTACGTTTATAATATACAGGTTTAAACAAAAGGATGTTTCTTACCATAAGTTTAAGACACTCTGTAGAGTGGCAAAACCGTATATTGTTCTAAATTAAGTTTTATTTATCAAGTCACATCTATTCTTAACAGTTTTGTTTTTGGTTCACCTCGATATATTTATTTTTGTGGAAAATATGGATTTTTTAAAAAACATTGCAATTTCCAATATTTATCTGTATGAAGAACTAAGGTTGCTATGGTCCATCCATATGCTATGGACAATGACAGTGACAGTTTTGTTGAATCATCCCATACTTGGACATGTCATACAAGGCTTTCAAAAGCTATCAAATTGTTTTTTGCAAATTAATGTTTAAATGTTTAAATTTTGAGGTGTCTTCTCACTTTAAAAAATGGATATGTCCCCGACTGATGTTGCCAGAGCCATTAATTTAATCCAGGATGGACGGTCACAGTATTACGTGGCAAGTGTTTTAAACGTCACAAGAAGTAAAGTACAAAGGGCAACATCAGTCGGAAACATTTTTAAAAGTAAGAAGACACCTCAAAATTAACACATTAATTTACAAAAAACAATTTGATAGCTTTTGAAAGCTGTATATGACATGTCCAAGTATGGGATGATTCAACAAAACTGTCACTGTCATCCTCCGTAGGCTATGGATGGACCATAACAACCTTAGTTCTTCATACAGGAAAAATATTGGAAATTGCAATGTTTTTTTTAAAAATCCATATTTTCCACAAAAATAAATATATCAAGGTGAACAAAAAACAAAACTGTTAAAAATAGATGTGACTTGATAATTAAAACTTAATTTAGAACAATATACGGTTTTGCCACTCTACAGAGTGTCTTAAACTTATGGTAAAAAATATGTTTTTGTTTAAACCTGTATATTATAAACGTGCGTGAATTTTTTAGTAATTTTTAAAATGTGAGCGATTCTCCATTAATGTATCTACAATATTCTTTAATATTTGTTTAAATCCGAAATCAAATAAAAAAGTTATTTGCGATTGAAATTCATCGAAAATTTGTGTGGATCGATTATTTTGCCTGTGAGTGTATTATTTTCCCCAGTTAGAATATTTTAACCAAATTTCAACAAATATTTCATCAAAAATCTTTTAACTGGGTATAATATTCTAAATAATCAAGATTACTTCTATAATCATCTACGTTATTGCCACACCATTTTGGAATACCACGTATAATCTAGTATAACTATGTCTAGTACTGTTAATAAATGGAAGTTGTGTTTATATATAACCATTTTTATTCATGTTAAATAGCAAGCTACATATATAGAATTAGTCGACCTAATTAAAACATTTTAAACATGATATTTTATGATCATCAAATAACTTTATAATTTAATTATCCATTGCATTGCCAATTTAAATTAATTAATCAAAATAATATTTAATTGAAGAAATAATTGAATTACAATAAAAGAAAAATAACTCCTATATAAAATATTTAGATATAGCTATATCCTTTGTGGTGCATAAAATGGCAAAACAAAAGAGTCGTTGATTAAAAATAGCCAAAATACATTTAAAACACGGTATCAATTGACTACTGAAAGTTTTCTTTAGGGGGCAAAGTCTGAAATCAATTTTATCTAAAGTTAAAATCAATTGTTACTTGATTTATACTTTATTTTGGACGCCTGTTGAATATCTATACCTTGGATGGGGTTTAACTGTGGCGTAAAAAAGGCGACGTTTTGTCACTATTGCCTGACTCAATTGCAAAGCCAAACAAAAATATGTAAATTAGGTTTATGCGGGCATATAAAACTAGGAACTAATTTCCTAAAAAGTGTTTCAAACCTCAGGAGTATATATATTTAGCGAATACGTGCAGGGTATGCTAAATGATGTGGTACCTTCTTTCTTTCCGCATTATTGAAAATTCTAGAATTTAGTTTTATATTCACTACCATCGGAAATATAAGATCAATGTCGTTTATAGCGACCATTATTTTTTATGTATCACGGTTTTAATATCTGTGCTGATATTAATAACATTGCCAGCAATTTGCATAAAACTTCGATTTGTATGAATCATATTGAAACTCGAGCTCCATATTGCCTATCTAGCGTAGATTATATTATATTATGGTATCCAAAAACGATTTTGATACAAAATAAGATGGAAATCCAGCCGAAAGTGATAAACACTGCATCTTCAGTTGTCAATGTTAGCCACACCAAAGCCGCGCTAATGCAATTGATTATATGCCAGTGCGATTTATTGCAAGCCATTCCTAATCGCTGTCACCTTGCTTGACAATACAAACAGTTAGTTAAGTGGACCTAATTGCTCAAGTTTATCACATACGCAAACACTAATATACAGAAATAAGTGACAATATGTTTTGATAAGAGGAAAAAGTCCTATGTTGTTAGTTTGTATCTTTCCTAGTCGTCGTCTATATCTTGTCCTTCATTGTCAGTACTGACTTCATAGAAGCTTCAGCCAGTCGTTGTTTACTAGGCTAAAAAATTAGAAAGATAGAAAACTGCTATTAACAAATTATTTGCCCCACTGTGCTAAAAGGTTCTCTTGTCTTCAGTACCGTTTATATTATGCAGCTGACTTTAAGAAAGATTTAACTATATTTACGTTATTTAACTTTTTTATCAAGCTGAAAATATAGTAAACAGGTATACACAACCTATTGACAACATTTTCAAAATTCAATTCAATTAAGTTTTGTCAAATTATGGCCAATATACTGTATATTCAATAGAAAAAATGTATATGTAAATATGACTTTAAAACAGCGATTAAATTTAAGAAAAATAAAAAGCAAAAGCTTAACAATGTATTTTTTGTATTATAGAATTAGAGGCTTATTATGGCATCGTGGGTTTTTATAAGTATTCCATTAGTAAAGTAGTGTTTTGTGTATTATTTTGTGTAGTGTGGTTTAAGTAAATCCAGGCCGGAGCTTAGTTGGATTATTTTTCGTTTAAATTGTTTTGTTGAAATAGCAAAATTACACATTTAACGTACATACGAGTATATCATTTTAGTAGGGAATATTTCTACTGTTTAACACTATTAATTAGAATATGCAATGCCAGAGGAAAGTAAACAAATTTTGATGTTGATTTGCATCAACATTCTCCTTTGGAAAACTTTTGTCAAATATCCCCTTTAGTTTAAGAACTTCTTAAACTAAAACATTTTCACCCTAATTATTGTTTTTGTTTATCGTGTTTGATATTAGTTGTCTAAGTTTAATAACTCGATTAAAAACACTTGGAAAATATGGAGATCTTCCACTTAGCTTACACTCACATGGAGATTAGCCTTTACGTTTAATATTATTAGTATTAGTTGCAACTTTCCATAAACTTTATTTAATTCGCTTTGTGCAATATTTCAGTTATTAAGCATAAAGTTTAATATTAATACTAAAATCAATAATACTTTTAATTTATTGTATACGTGTTTTAAATAATAAATCACATACATTAAATAATGATAAAATTTGCCATATTAATTAAAGTAAAATACAATAAAGTGTAGGTATATTTTATTTATTTAATGGACGCATTAAACAATATAAATTTTATTCTTTTTATTCAACGATTTATCAAACATTGACAACTTGGCTGCAAAGCCGGAATGCAAAATATTTCATTCTGTTAACCAAAATTATTTGAGGTGCTCCTAATATGGATAATTCAAACCAACCAAATTCTTGCGGTACCTGGACCTACATACAGATTCAAACAATTTTCAAACTGACCCGAACTCTCTCCCTCACTCTAATGATCATTGTAGTTAATTAAATTATTGACCACCAAACTGCTTTATAAGTCACTGATTTTTTTTTGAGTATAAACAATGAAAAATACGAGTGGTACAAATCATTCAAAGATTTACCTCACAGGGTGAAATATATTTTATTAAAAAATCCAAGGTAAGTAAATTGGTGTTTTTAAGGGTTTTCTTTCAGATTGGTGCTTGATCGAGTGTTATTGGTGTGGAATATATGATGAATGAATCTGTTTTCCATAATGGGTTTTTTTGGTGGAAGAAGTTAAATTATTCGTTTTATAACGAGTGGTTTAAAGGGGTGTGTGGTGGCATGGCTCGAACTCAAACATTTACCTTGGTGTGCCAAGAGGTTAGTTAAAAATCCATCTCCGCTATCGAAGAGTGAAGGACCTCGACCTAAGGATGCTGCATTTAAATGCAAAGCGAACGGTTTATATTTCACTCAGATTAAAATGTCAATAAATGAATTGCCTGATTCATGAATCTTAA